AGGTAGGACATCCTTTGGCATACATGTAGTTCAAACTTCAGAAGTGGTGGGAGGTCGAACACATTATGGGCATGGTGCAAGAAATCCAATCCAATAGACTTCCTGTAGACATGTGTTCTGCAAGGAAAAAACCTGATATTAAAGTTACTACGTCGAACGAACTGCTCTAAGGCACATACAAATAAAAAAATGATTTCCGTGACAGAGGGAAAACATAGTTTCCATATTGCAAGGCTATGGTATTTCAACAGTCACTTCTTCTCACTTGAAGTCATTGCACCAAATACTTTTTTGAGTCCAACTATCAATGCAAAAGAAAATTCATTGTGCAAGAAGTAGATAAGACTCTGCTTTATAGCTTGCTGAATATCGCTTTTTATCTATAGTAGGTGCTGTCAACCCGCACAAACCTCTAATGACCATTAGTAGGTGCTGAAATCATCAAAATAGTGCGATATGTTGTGGCAGCTTCTAGAATTTATAGTGATTTGCATGTGATTTTTAGAGAGAAAATGGAGTATTTCGTTTGCATTGATACGCCTTGTCTGCGCCAAGTACTCCTCGCATATCTATTTTACAATCCAGATAGATATCGTATGCAAGGTTCAACTCGCCAAATATCTTTTACAGGTCCTAACTAAATTGAAATGGACTCTCATAATCTTATAACTTGAGGACCCATAATGTACCATTAACAATTATAGCAAAAAACATCTTACATAAATTACACAGTCTAATGAAAACAGAAAGAAGTAAGAGCTGTTTTGGAAATAGAGAAGGAACTAAGTCGCATCGTAAATAAAAATAGTGAAACAAACCTGCGTGATCGTAAATAAAAGCGTGGAAACAAACCTCTCTGCATCGTAAATAAGAACCTTTCAAACAAACCTTGAAAATGAGTGATTTAGCAAGTTCCCATTCACTACCAAAACCTGCTTACATATGTAACATGAGAGATAAAGAGAAGAGGTGAGAATCAATGACTAAAAAACTAAAGGTGGGACAATCAACATGTAAACTCTGTACTCCAAAGTATTCCCATGGAGACATCAATTTCTATACGGGCACATGGCAATGCACCACCGAGAGCGATACAAAAATGTCCTAGGCACAATGCAAGCAGGGCAAACATACGTGGTAACTGTGAAGGCCATTAATAGAATAGCAATGCGATCATCTCTGAATGGATAGAGCGCTGAAACATGAACGGTAAGTAGCAGCCCTGCTGAACAGAGGCATAATGGACTAATTTAGGGGAAATGTGTATAATCTAATGAAGGTAACCAGAAGTTTCAACATAAGTTGAAACACACCTATTGGTACTACACTAAATTTTGTTGTTCTTCCCATAAGGCATTATCCTATTTACTTTAGCGCATGCTGAGTAGAAATCATAAATGTAACCTATCCAACAAAAGCTCAGTTTCAGTCCCGCGTCAAGATAGAATGGCAAAACTAATTTTAAAAACAACAGACAGAAACAAACTGCTGTAGGAATAACCTGCGTAGAACAGCAGGCTAAGTGTAGCAGTAAAGATTAAAGAACATGAGAGCAGGAATCTCCTAATAAGCAAAATAGGATGCCACAAAATGCAAGAAACGTATGAACATAGGTATGCACTATGCAGAATAAGAAGACTTGTAGGAAGGCTGGTTGATGGCTTAATCACCGCGGAACACCTCGCAGGCACTGCATCAGCAGAAAGGAAAATTAGTGCCAACAAATTCCAACATGGCATGACAAAAAAAACTACTCGGTGAGGGCATACAAACACCCCAGCAAACTCTGAACTATGAAAGTAGGCAAATAGTAGGAGCATAGCAACACAACTGTGATTTCTGAACTCTGTAAGTAGGCCAACGGTAGAGCTTTTCCAATGGACAAAACAAGGTTGGCACCATCACAATCAAACGGGTCACTATTGTAATGAGTTCTGGTTTTTTCCGGTGCGGAAAATCACAATCAAATGGAAGTGATGCATGAAAAAAATGTAAAGTAAAAGGGACCAAAAAAAGATTCTCACCCGAACAGCAGATGAATAGATCAGTTAGCAGCTGCTGCTGGTGACTAAATCACTACAAAATACGACCTCGCCACTACACAAAAATCAGGAAAAAATCAGTTTGTTGCAACTGAGCAGGCATAATATAGTTTGCAGATTTTTTTTAAAAAAAAAAGAGAAAAGGATGACAACTTACCAACATAGGAAGTACCTACAGCTGCGTTGTACATATGGATGCTGAGAAGTAAATAAGAAGTTTTTGCAATACAAAGCAATTGTTAGCAACACAGAAAAATACGGTGTGAGGAATTATATGAAACAATGTGCAGTGAAAACATAAACAAAGTATATAAGTGTAATCTAAAAATGAGAAAGATCTCTATTATGAAAGCCAACAACTGCATACACATGTATAGCCTTTGCATTCAGGAAGAATAACATCACACTTAGAAATGACGGCAAGAGTATCTAAATAAAAAAACTGAAAACATAAGCAGTATGGAGCTACCATCCTAATAAGTGAACATAGGATCCTCAAAGAGCGCTAATTAGTCCATCAATAATGTTTGTTAGACACAAAAAAGACTCTAGACAACCTGCCGCAGACAAATTATGACAAAGTACTAAAGAGGTCAAACTGGAAGGAACATATGGTAAACTGAATGCAGAGCTGTCTAACCTTGATCTGTTATGAAGATAGGCAGCTCTGTTTACCTATGCTACACATGATCGAGAACAGTAATGCGGAAAAACATGGAATACGCCCAAAAGAAATTTTAATTCTATGTTGGCCCTCAATCTTTTGGTAGCCATAAAAAGTATATAATGCTAACACTAATATGTCTTGCCTTTGAAACTGACACCAAAACTAATAGCATAAAGCAGAGCAAAGCTACACCTTAGTGTTTGAGATACGTGTCCGATATATCCATGTACACATTTCTTCAAAAATCACGAGGGCACTTTTTGTAGGACATCGTACTCTACAGAGAAGGGGTCACATGGCCATAGTATTAGCATGTTAATTATCAGTGGAACACCCATATATAGAGACAAATTTGATAATCTGATAACATGACAGCTTCAAAAACAACTTACAAGTACTAATTAAGATATGTGGCGACGGATTAATAAGAAACTAAAACAAACTCACCAAGCCTACATGAGTACTAATCAATTATGAAGATAAGCAGGCCTATTTACCTATGCTACACATGATCAGTAACAACTAGGAAAAACATGGACTATGTCCAAAAGAAATTTTAATTCTATGTTGGTCATGAATCTTTTTGCTAGCCATAACAAATTAAAGATATATAACACTAACACTAACATGCCTTGCCTTTGAAGCTGGCGTGTAATTTTTTTTTGTCAAAGGCAATACATCCCTGTCAACCAATTTGCAAAAAACGATCAGTATGCACCTCCACCACAATTCACAATTACATTATGTGACATAATCAAGGAAGGGGAAAAAACCAAACAGATGGATAAAATAGCAATTACCTGTATAGCAATTTCTAGAGAAGGAAGGGGGAGCCGGCATCATCACAAAGACACGAAGACACATTAGTTGGCACACCAAAAATAGACAATACATCTCCATTAGATCCCTGGAAACAAAATCAATGTCCAGTCAAAACAAAAATTGAATGAAAACAAAAGGAAAAGTTTTTGGGCATCTAGAATCATAAACCAGGAGTATGCATCCACAACCTGGCACACTTTGCTCTAAGGAGACTGTCATGTGACAGCGACAGCTCGGGACCGTCGCACTGGCGGCGCAGGCAAGGGCGACCAACCCTAGGGCATGCGACAGCGACACAGGCAAGGGCGGCCAGCCCTGCACCACGTCACGGCGGCGGAGGTGACGGCGGGCATCCCTAGGGCACGGCGACGAGGCGTCGGGGATGAGTCCAGCCAACCCTAGGGCACGGCGGGGTGGCGGCGCAGGTGAGGACGGAGATGCGTTCAGAGGAGGGGATGCAGAGGATGGAGCAGGGGCGGCGCTAGCAAGGGCGGAGCGGCAGTGGAGCATGCGGAGGGGAGGGCTCCGGAGGGCGGCGCGGAGAGGGGCAACGGAGCAGGAGGACGGCGCGTGGGGGAGGGAGCGGCGTGCGGGGAGAGGGACGGGCGCGGGGGAGCGGAGTGATAGATTTTTTTTTTGCCATGTGTATGGTCGGTGAACGGATATACCGTAGATTTTGGATCAAATGCGGTAAATTTTTTTTTTGCTATCATGGATGCTCTGGTTGGCGGCCAAACTATCCTGCTTTGCTTTGATAAGAGTAGATTCATTCATTCATTCACACGGACCTCTCGTGTGCTACAGCCGTTTAGTGCAGCGTGCAGGTGAACCGGCACGAAACGCCCGTCATCATTTCAACTCCGGAAACATTTGCGTTCCCGTTGGAAGCGGAACGCTGGATCCAGCGCAGCAAATCGCCCAACGCCGAGGCAGCCGCTCGACATTTCCGTCCGATCCAAGCAGCTATCCTCGCGTCCAAGTGCCCCCCCGCCGTCCCAGGCCCCAGCCGGACCGCCGGACGCCGGTCGCGCTCCGCCCCAACACGAAAACCCCGAAGCCTCCCTGGCTGTTTGGCTTCGCATTCGTCGCGTCGCCAGCCGCCTCGCTCCAAAAGTCCAAACCCCTACACTACCACAGGTCCACAGCAACCTCGCTCGCGGACTTGCTGAACCGCGTCCGCTTCGGCTTCCCCTTGCCCCCCGGAATTCCGCGCGACGTCGCCATCAGTCACCGCCTCACCGGGCAGTTCGCTCGCGCAGGTCATCGTCTCCCCTGATGACCGAAACGGTTACTCCCCTAGTCCCCCCCCCACCACCCCCACCACCAGCGCCGAGCAGTTAGGCAGTTACCACTACTCTCCGCGTCGTCGCTAACTGTTCCAGGACGTGTCTTTGCTAATCCCCATTCATCGTGCTAATCCCCATTCATCGTACCGGCCGGCCCCTCCCCAATCGCCGCCGATCGCAGCCATGTCCTCTTCCTCCACCTCCTCCTGCGACGGGAGCGGGAACCCTAGCCCGCCCGCGGCGGCGGCGTCGGCGGCGGGTCCCGCGGCGCAGTGGCCCAGGCGGCAGTGCCGGGACGTGTTCTGGCTGGTGGTCTTCCTCCTCCACCTGCTCGTCTTCGGCGCCGCGCTCGCGCTCTTCGGCCTCAACCGCTTCCGCCAGGCCGACCGCTTCAACATCGGCCGCTACGCCAACCTCACCGCGGAGCCCTGGGGCACCAACACCCCCGCCGGCTCGCCGGACCCCGCTCCCGCGCCGCCGCCGCCCTCCGTCTACCGCTCCGAGGACCCCTCCGTGCCGGCGTCCGAGCTCACCGAGACGTACTGGAAGTACTACGGCGCCGCGGGCGCCGTCGGGGCCGCGCTCGCGTGGGCGTGGCTCGCGGCGGCGGCCTGGAGGAAGGACGGCGGCAAGGTGGTCATGCGGACCGCCGTGCACTGCCTCACGGCCTACCTCGCCGTCGTCAGCGTCCTAAGCTTCTGGGGAAGCACTTCTTCTGGGGCGTCGCCCTGGCCGTCGGCGCCGGCCTGCACTTCCTCTACGTCATGTCTGTGCTCGATAGGTACAGCTCACAACAACACTATGTTCTGAATTTGTCTGTAAAAATTGCCTATTCCATCTCATTTCAGACGAATTTGGACTCTAGTGAATGTGGGTCTGATGCCTGACACCGAGTAGGAGAGCGAGTTTCTGCAAATAACATGCAAATTCGAAGAATATCCACTCGCAATGCCTTACCCTGTTGACTGAATCTGCACAATCTCACCTATAACTGCATGAAGATCCTGCTAGGAGGTTGTCTGCACATGCTGCATGGCTGCACAAGTGTGCCATAACGCCAATCTTCTATGTTTCCTTGATTGATATGGCTTTTTGGTCTGCTTAATTTGTGTGGGGGCAAAGGATCACGTATGTTAGCATAGATTTATGCCACTGTGGGGGCAAAGGATCACGTATGTTAGCATAGATTTATGCCACTTTACATATTATGATCACATATTTGAGATCAATCAACCAGGTATTTGAAAGTGGGAAGTGATGAGTGCACTTTAAGCTAAAAATTGTTATGTTCTTTGTATTCTGGTTCAGATTACTGGTGCTGACGGGGCACTATCAGCTGCATTTTAATGGCAGACGACTGGACGGTTAGTGATACACATGTAACTGGTAGAGTTTGACAAACAATGTTCTAAAACTGGACTACTGGTAGCTTGTATCTGTTTCGCCACTCAGCAATAGTTACCATTATATGCCATAAGCAGTCTGATCATGTGTCCTATCAGTAAAATGTAATCAGTAGGGGCATATTCCTTGTGCTGTCTGGTAGACTACTTTTGAAAAAAATAATGTTATATGGAACGGTGGGAGAGCCATAATATCTAGTCCTGAAACCTTATGACCTGATTTGCTTTAAAAAGAAATGAATAATTCCACTGCCTATTCTCCTTCATTTCGTGTCCATTCTATCTTGAATCATTTCTTCGTAGCCTTGGTGGTGTCTGTTATGCCCACCTAGATTGAACCATGCCACAGCCCCTGGTTGTTGAGGACCATGGCTGAAACCTCCCACCCACCATGTCTGTCATGTTCTCTTCCAGTACTCATGACAAACCGTGTATGTATATCTTGGAACAGTGTTTACTCTGTTTATCTTGGTTGCTAGCCACACTTGCCTGGCCTCTATATTTTGCTGAATGTTGTCAAAGGCACACTGCAATAATCCAATAATTGTGCCTCGTCGATTCATAATATGTGGGAGCCTCAGGCTGTTTATTCTGGAACTTTAGAACTCAAGTTACATGCTAAAGTACCTAGAAACAGTACCTTTGTTTGAGCATTGCATACTTCTTTGTTTTGCTAGGAAGTTACTGGGTTGCTTTTTGCTAGGTTTCCCTTCACAATGCTAGTACTACAGAAGGCAGTAAGAATGGTACGGGAACTTCCTGATGTGATGCGAATTGCTTATGCGTTTGTGGTAGTCATGCTTTGTTGGATGGCATTATGGTCCTTTGGAGTTTCTGGTATTGTTGCATTTGGCATTCCAAATGGTGGGCAATGGTGGCTTCTTTTGGTGAGCTGGCAAGTTTTTACCATACTTCTATATAAATATTTAGTGCCTTTATTATTCAGATATTTTTTTTAATAATATCTCCTGTATTTGCAGATTTTTTCAGTCAGTTTATTTTGGACTGGAGCTGTCCTTAGCAATACAGTTCATGTCATTGTCTCAGGGATGGTTTTCCTCGTTCTCATTCATGGTGGTCCAGCTGCTGCAACAATGCCCCCAAAGCCTCTTCTGAAATCTCTTCAGTATGCTGTGACAACTTCATTTGGAAGCATTTGCTATGGATCACTTTTTACCGCTGCTATTAGGACTTTACGATGGGAGGTTTGCATTTTTACTTTACTCCCTCTGTTTATACTCTGTCGTTTAGCTTCGCATTTTTACTCCCTCTGTTTATACTCTGTCGTTTAGCTTCCTTTTATAGTTCTCATCGTTTTTTTCTTTTTTACCTCACTCCTTACAGATTCGTGGAATTCGTTCTAAAATTGGCAGCAATGAGTGTTTGCTATGTTGTATTGATTTTTTGTTTCATATTGTGGAGACGCTTGTTCGCTTCTTCAACAAATATGCATATGTACAGGTGAGTGATGTTTATCTCTTCAGTAGTTTTCAAGATGTAGACCATGCCTATGTTAAAAGTCTACATGTTCCTGCTGTTTTCTGTTTATCATTTGTTACTCCACACCGACAGTATTTTTCTTATTGTTTTAAGCTATAAGGTTTAGTTTCTGAAGGGCAGGCCTGGTGCAAGCGGTAGAGTCTTACCGCCTGTGACCGGAAGGTCCCAGGTTCGAGTCGCGGTCTCCTCGCATTGCACAGGCCTGCCACTAACACCCTTCCCCAGACCCCGCACAGAGCGGGAGCTCTCTGCACTGGGTACGCCCTTTATAAGGTTTAGTTTCTGTCAATGAAAGTACCTTTGCTTGCCTAGATATTTTTAAACAAATGCATGTGATTTTGACCCAATCACTGCTTTTATTGAAATGTGAGAACTTATTATTGTAACAATTTATCTCTATTTCATGCTATGGAATATTGACTACTGATATCATGCTATCCAATCAATGCCTTAAAAATAGTTTTTCATTTTCAGATAGCAGTTAATGGACAGAGTTTCAATCGCTCAGCTAGGGACGCTTGGGAGCTGTTTCAATCCACAGGCATCGAATCGCTTGTTGCTTATGACTGTTCGGGTGCTATCCTTCTGATGAGCACCATTTTAGGTGGATTAATTACTGGAACCTGCATGGGCGTTTGGACATATTTCAAACAAAGTGATAAAGCTGTTATGGTTGGTTCAACCTCCATGCTGATGGGTATGATACTGGTAAGTGTCAATATCTCCATATGAATTTGCATGACTGTAGTAACTAAGAAAAGGAAAACCGTGTCCAAGTTTTCTTCATACAGTACAATCTCTGCTAGTTCTGTCAAGATTGACATCTGGTCAATTTTGCAGGTTGGACTAACTGTTGTGGTTGTGGAAAGTGCTGTTACATCAATATACATATGCTATGCTCAGGATCCCCTTTTGATTCAGAGATGGGATCCTGAATTTTTCGAACAAATGTCAGAAGCACTACACCAGCGACTGCAGTACCGAAGTGCGCGAGCTCGTCAAGTACTGAATGGGCGGCTTGATCATTTGCCACATACGTCCAGTATTTGAATATGAATTGCATGCCAAGTATTGCTTATTTCTGTGAATCCATGGATACGTAGGCAGGCATTTCCAGAAGAAGATTTGGATCTCCCTAACACTGAAATATATAGATCAAGGAAGATATTCCAAGCCATTGACGTTTAGAGAACTGAAGCGCCCCAGCAATCTTGGACGCCTTCCAGAACAGCAAAATGTTTTCAAATCCCAATGAAGCCACAATGTGTTAATGCTCATGCTTTTGTGGTACTGCGCCATCATTTTTTTTTATCTGTGTAGACTTTTGTGGTAAGGTAGATACTGTTAAATTCATTTCGAGATTTGTGATGCAGAGCGGGTGCGGTTTCAACATTTGTGCGGGTTAGTGCAGCAATGTAATAGGTTTTTGTCTTTCTTTCTGTAGTCTTAGACCTACAGTATGATAAGCTATGGAGACTTGGAGAGGAACAGCATCGTGGTTGCTACTTGGCCGGTTGTACAGAACAGTGTTGCTTAATGCTCATATACTAGGTGGTCTGACTGATTTATCACGTTTGCTTACGTTTACTTCAGGTTAGCGTTGCCGGTTTGAAATTTGGAATGGACAATTCTAAGGCCCTGTCTGGACCCACCCCAAATTGTGCAAGTTCACTCGAATTTCACAATCTGGGGTTGATGGATCGTGAGGACCAATAGTCAAGGGTTTGATTACAAGCTAGGTTGTGAAAAGCTGGATTTCGGTGGATTCAAGCACAATCCTAAATGTTTGCTTAAATTTATCAACCTGGCTTATCAGTTATGGTATAGTGTTTTTCTCTCATAATAAAACAGCATTAGCCAAACAGCTCATCACGTGAATATTTCACTTGCTCTCTGCTCTGATAGTGCAGTTAGCCGTGCAGGTACACGTACACCCTTTTGGAAACCATGTTTCGGCTTCAGAAAATCAGAAGTAACCCACAGCCAGGCCTTTGGCCGCACACACTGGTTGCTGATTGCCGATGAATACCACCATCATTTGCAAGAACTCGGTAGGCGTCTTTCCATGATTGTTATCGTGTGCCCACTGGCATTTAGAATAATGCGGATGGACGCCTTATCTCATTGGTGGGGGGAATAGACAAACGGCGTGTTCGTTGGTTTGGTCTTTGGTCTTTGGTTTTAATTTGGTGGTCTTTGGTTTTTGAAAGAAAACACCTGCTTTGGTTGGTTAAATAAGCTGCATTTGAAACCAACAAACGAACAATGCGTAAAACATGTCTTCTGAGAAGGAAAGGGAGACCATCCCATCAAATTTGAGTAAGAGAACAACTCGATGAACACGCCTGGCAATTCAACAAGTACCACCATTGGATCAGTATCTATCCGTGGACCTGTCAAGTCTTTGTGGAAAGCAAGCCGTGCCATTTTACGCCCGCTTTTTTTTTTGGCTACGGCCATTGACGTGGGCAGGGAAAGTCTTCTTTCCACGGACGCATGTTACGCTACTGAACGACGATGGCCCCGTTCCACAGACCGGTTGGTTGGGCTTGTTTTTTCAGTCGGAATAGTATTTTTTTTTCATAATAATTTAGCTAGAACCGTGTTTTCCAGTCAGTTTCAGCTAGCCGAACGGGGCTAAACTGAAATGTTGTGAGAAAAAAATACTATTCCAGCTTGAAAAAAAAGCCGAACAAACCAGTTTCTGATAAGCCGAACGGGGCCATCGTCGTTCAGTGGCGTAACATGCGTCCGTGGAAATAAGACTTTTCCCTGCCCACATCAACGGCCGTAGCCAAAAAAAAAAAAGGTGCGGGCGTAAAAATGGCACGGCTTGCTTTCCACAAAGACTTGGCAGGTCCACGGATAGATACTGATCCAATGGTGGTACTTGTTGGGTCTTATTATCCGGATCAGGCACACTTGACGTTGAAACGACGGCCGAAAACAACGTGATCATTCTATGCATGGCGGGGCGGCAGGCCACATGAGCCTCGCGAGTAGCGGCGCTGTGGAGCACCGCACCGCCTAACCGTTGGTCCGGGTGTGGCCGGCCGCGTCAAATCGGGTTTAATTTCCACGTCGTGCCCGGCGCCCGGGCGACGACTTGACGGTTGACCCGCTCGTGCCGGCCGGGCCCGGGGCCATCACGTACATTCACGTACATACACTCGCCCCACCAGCCACCAAAAAAAAAACGTCTCGTGGCGAACGCCCGCACCGACGGGCGCCAGGGCATTTGCGTGCCTTGGTAAACTCATCGCTCGCGAGTTGCGACGCGCTGGCAGGGAAGCGACGCGACCCACTAGCTCGGCACCGGCACCCTTTGGGCACAGCGCACTGCGCACTGCGCCACTGCGGTTACCATCGCCCCCAGCCCGCCGAGATAAATAAATGCGCGCAGCGGCCGGACAGGGTAGACCGGCCGGCGGACGCGCACAAGGCAAACTCCAAGTCCAACGCTCCGCCCCCGGTCTGATCTGGTTTCGTTTCCGGCCTCGTTCGTCGGCGGACAGTGCGGCGCGCGCCTCCGATCCACCACCATGTACCCGAAGGCAGACGAGGGTGATGCCCAGCCGCTGGCCACGGGCATCCCCATCAGCGGCGGCGGGGGCGGCTACTACCAGGCGGGCGGCGCGACGGCGGCCTTCGCGGTGCAGGCGCAGGCCGCGCCCGTCGCCGCCTGGTCCACCGGCCTCTGCGACTGCTTCGACGACTGCAGCAACTGTGAGTGAGAAGAGGATCGATCGATGCACGCACGGAGCGGCTGATCATTCCTTGCTGGTATATAATCGGAATTAACGATGGATTGCATGCAGGCTGCGTGACGTGCCTGTGCCCGTGCATCACGTTCGGGCAGATCGCGGAGATCATCGACCGGGGGTCCACGTCGTGCGGCACCAGCGGGGCGCTGTACACGCTCATCATGCTGCTCACCGGCTGCCAGTGCGTCTACTCCTGCTTCTACCGCGCCAAGATGCGCTCGCAGTACGGCCTCCAGGAGAGCCCCTGCGCCGACTGCTGCGTCCACTGCTGCTGCCAGTGCTGCGCGCTCTGCCAGGAGTACCGCGAGCTCAAGAAGCGGGGATTCGACATGAACATAGGTGCGTACTCTACAGTACCACCAGTGAAGCATCAACAAGCATCTGTTCATTCAGTTCTTGCACTTCCCTAGCTATTTGGTCGTCCAGCACAGTACTGACAGATGCTGCGCGCCGCTGTGTGTTTGTTTCTGTGCGTGTACGCAGGATGGCATGCGAACATGGAGAGGCAGGGACGCACCGCCGCTACCATGCCGCCACGGATGCACCCTGGCATGACCCGCTGATGCTGCCGCTCGCCTCGCCTCAGTCGGTCCGCGCCCAGCCTCTGCGTCGTCCCTAGTTGCGATGTCACTGCACGCCCATGTAATGTAACTACCGGTATCTACTCTGAGTTTGTATAAAAAAGACTATCATGTCATATAAACGAAAACTCTGCAGTTTGCTAGCTACCTTTTGAATTGAATCTCTGGCTTCAAGGGAGCTGATGCAAGCTGCTTTCACTTCGTAGTGTTGCTTTGCTTGCCCCCCTACCAACAACGCTAGAACTAGAACTGTAACGAAAACGTGTATCCATGATGGTCTCTGTGTAGCGTCGGGTTGTATACTTGATACTTTGTGGACTTGTTGCTTCAATTTGGCCCACCAGATGAAAACATGGTCCGTGAAACACTCCGCACCACACGAAAATATGGCCCATTAAACACTCCACCAGAAGGCTCAATTTGGTTCGTGCGCGAGCCCATGCGGCTGGTGAGTGCTGACACAGTATCACTCCGCCACAGTCGCTAGCGATAATACTGCGATCCTAGTACCACATTGCTCCGGTACCGCGGTGTATCCGGACATATAATGTTACTGTGTTGTGTAGCCACTCAATAAATCACATAATAATAACAAGCAGTGATGAAAAAAAGAAGTGCTGGTGGGTCCAGTACTGATCTCCTGATCTGGATGGAGTATCGATGGCCAAATCTGAGCTTGTTTCCCTTAATTTTAATAGCTTAATTTAATTCAATATTCAAATAATAAATAGTACACAACATATGCATAATTTAATGAAAACTTCGTCAATCTTAATCTCTCGTGAGATAAATTTGGTATGTGTTCGTAGCTAGAGACGCCGGAGCATCTTTTCATCTAGATATGCACCCAGATCTTATGGATTGGTACTCAAAATCTTGCTATGACATTGGAACGCTAAGCGTCTAAGAAAGGCTAATAATAAGGTTCCCACTCATATAGTAATCACTATTTATTAATACAAGCCGCATTATAGTGGATCTTAAAAAAAAAACAGTCAAACGTTCTTGCCACCCACTCTCCGATTAGGCAAAAAGCAGCTGTTATTTTAAGTTGGCCCGCCACATAAAAACATGGCCCATAAAAACGCTCCACGAAAGGCTCATTGTGGCTAGAAATAGCACCATTGTTCTAGGGAGACCCGGGAGAAGGTAAAAATAATTAGGACAAAATCCATAACCGCAGCCATGAGTAATTGAAAAATGTTTCATGACCATAACGGTTGGTTACCTAAATGTGATCATGATTGATTTGGCATGTACCATGCAAGGATGCTTGTGCAGACAAGAGAGAGAAATTATATTATATCATTCTACGATGGTAAAGACTGATATGATCAGGGGTGAATCCAGTGTGGGAGCTGGGGTGCTCAAGCCCCTACACCTCTGGGCTCCATGGATGAATAGAGGGAAGTGAAAAGAGTAAGAGAGAAGAAGAGGGAGGAGAGGAAGAAGAGAGAGAAGAATGGAGATGAGCATTTTTTAGACTTAAACTCTGTATCAATAATTCACCAAGGTTAAGTGACGAGGACATGACACCTTCGGATATGACCACTGATTATAAGGTGAGTTCATTCCTACATTTGCATAGTGATTTTTGGTATAATTCACTTGGTTCCACATGTACATGTCATTATTTGATTGTAGGTACAAATGTGTCTCAAAGTGCAAGTCCATCAAAGTTGAACTTTCGGGTCATCGGTAGCCCGACAATACTCAATTGGGAAGGCCATAACTCTTTCATCCAGAGTGAGTTTGAGGTACATGAGCACTTTATGGATAAGCTTTCAAATAGACCTGGTCTCACTTTAATATCACGTCGGCAAGGTCTTCAAATCATCAAGACATTCTACCGCTGTTTCATTCGGGTTCTTCAACGTCGTCGTGAGCATGTTATTCACACTTGGGACCCAGGCCCAAGTTGGAGCACACCCCAAGAAAATGGAGAACACCTAAGAGATGCCCAAGGACGTCCTCCTACTTGGTCACCACCTTAGGAGGCAAGCAAGGGCATCCAAGCCAAGTTGAAGGCCCAATCTAAGTCAAGTTCGAGTCCATCTCGGACTTCAGGAGCAGCATATAGTAAAACGGACGCCTAGGTCCCATATGAACTCCGTTTTCGATGATCCATATATGGATGGAAAACTAATTTGATAAGCCAACTAATGGAATTGGTCTCACATCTAAATTCCTTCGGAGTCAACAGGAATCGTCGAAAATAATTTGACGTCTAGAATCTGTCAAGGCGCTGCGTCACCATCTTTTGGGCTGTTTGGGCCTTGTAATGTGTCGGGACTCCTTAGGGACGCGAATAGGGGTCCTTGGACGCCCCTTCGGCTATATAGTCAGTAGCCGCCACATACGTTAGGGTTTGGGTTTTGCTTTAGATTAATCTATCTTTGAACAGTCGCCATTATCGGTTTGTGAAACCCCACATTGAGATCTTTATTATACATCTGCAATTATCACTTTAATTGAGTTGCATTTTACCTTGTTCTTGCTTGTGTTCTTCGATTCACAACAGGGATTAGCCTTCTCGGCGAGGTCAACCGGATTGTGACATGATTGATAACCAGAGGAGATGTGGTGCTAAGGTTGCAGGGTTCGAGTCTTTATGATCTGAAGCCGAATCGGTGTGTCGCTCTCCGACCAAATCGATAGTTATCTTGAACCTGACGGAAGATCAGGAACCCTGTCCCCATCAAGTGGTAATCAGAGCTTCAGGTATACCGTCAAGTTCGGATTTACCCTAGATTAGTTGTGTTTTCCTTCGTTCCATAAATCCAGAAAATTGCCCCACAAAAATATGTGTGTTCATCATTGTTTTTCTCTATCCCATCATCCGTTGTGCCATTACAATATTTTTAATTTCAAATTGTTTTATTGAACGGTGGTCCCTTGCTGTGTCATTGTGTTCGTCGTGTCTAGTTTGGTCCGTGCCCCTTTTTTTTCTTCTGTTGAGCAGAATTCGTGCCATCCCGTTGAGTTGCTCTCTGGTTTCCTTTTCCATCTGTAACCTAGCACATAAAGGAGTTGCGTTAAGGATCCTCTTGGCATAAAATATCTCTGTCCGATAGCTCTAAGATTGGTCATTGACTTTCACGAGGACAAAAATAAATATAGTTGGTTTAGTGTCTCACGTACAAACTCAGTAGGATCCATCTTCCTTTCTTTGGAAATTAATCTGGTGCTGCGCTCAGCCCAACATCACATCACAGTAGCTAGTGTTTAATTCGAGTTCACCTGTTGTAAAAAAAATCGAGTTCACCATCCTCTCTAGTATTGTTGGTCGAGCGTTTGTTTTAGCAGGAGGTTCCTGCTGTTAATTTTCGAACTGTGGTAGATCCTGTGAAAATACTTTGCACTTGAGAGTTGTAATTTTTTCTCTTGCGGCACTTTCTGAGATAAAAAAAGAAAGAAAAAGGCAATAAGGTGCCAAAGAAAAAGCCGCACCATAAAAAAAAGAAAGCAAAAGGCAACGACGTGCAAAAAAAAAGCCAAACAAAAAAAATCAGAAAGAAAAATAAAAAAAGTGCAAAAAAAATCAGAAGTGCTTGCATCCTTTTGAGTCTTTGTGCTGAGTTGTTTTGTTGCTCGCTTGAACTATGTCCGGGACGAGTTTAGGCCGGCGACATAGACTAACTTGGGACTACTTTTTAATCTTGCAATTTCTGAATTAAATTATTGCTATTCCTTGCTACCATATTATTTAGCCTCCCAAGCTCCACATATATACTTCAGATCAGTACAGAAAAAGATCATTGCAATTTTGGTGCTACACCCTCACAGGTTTCATGAACCAGCCACTCCTTGTACCATCTACTGCATTGGTTTGGTAAGAACACTTGTAAGAGCTTGGTAAGACGTGTGAGAGTGTGATTCGACCAATCCATAAATAGTTGATAGGTCATTTTATTTTGATTCCTAACAATATCAAACAACGAGTTTCTGTTTAACCGTAGATTGCAGGAAATCATGGACCAGATGTTTGCAAGGGTAGACCGAATGAAGAACAATCAGCCATCACATATAGACTACGATCATCAAGGTATAAGAGGTAAATTTAGCATACCATCTTTTGTTGGATCTTATGATGGAGAAAAATATTTTGATTGGAAGATAGCTGTAGAACAAGAGTTTAATTCCCACCTAGTTCCTGAGATACATAGAGTTAAACACGGCACTAGTGAATTCAAATATTTTGCTCAATTCTGGTGGCGAGAACTAGGCAATTTGCATCAACAACCTCAATCATGGGATGGACTTAAAGAAGCAATGCGTGATCGTTTTATTCCTCCTTATAAACGTGATTTACGTAAAAAATGCAATGCTTAGAGCAAGGTAATATGTCTGTCCAGGATTATTATATAGAGTTTCAAAAGTGTGCAATATGTTGTGGGATAGTAGAGGACATGGAAGATAAAATTGTTCGCTTTTATGGTGGTTTGAGGCATGAAATTCAGGATATTGTTTATCATAAAAAAATTTGTACTATCAACTGTTTGTTCCAACTTGCTATGCTAGCAGAAAAAGAATTACAGGGATGTCAGCAAAAGAACCAAATCAACATTGGCGACAGCCTCAACCAGATTTTAGCAAGGGTGGAGCAAGCATTTGTGAAGGTTGAGACTGCGATAAGAAGGCGAGTGGCTTCTTCCGCCCCTGCAACAGCATCTTCACCACCACCACCACCTCCCACACATACTTTGGAGTATGATAAAACTTTAGACCATGCTCAAATTGTACAAACTAATGGAGATGGAGCTGCTAATAGAAAGAAAGAATTATATGTTAAATATGAAAATAAGCAAGTATCCAAATTGAAAGGTTCTTTTATACTACTACAAAATCTGATATTATTGAGATTAGTGATGCTGTGCTAAATTTGTCCACCACTCATGCTATAATAGACACTACTAGAAATGTGTTCATCAATGACGATTCAGTCGTGACGCTTACAAATTTTGTCACAGAACACGCGCTTTCTATGACAAAATTTCCAGCTTCGTCATAAGTAACAAGTGACGGAGCTTTGGCACGAAGAATAATGATGAAAACAAAAGAATCATCATAAAACAACAAAACTAAATCATCATAGATCGTTTGGCTCGTGTACCACCTTAAGGACATGGCACCATGGTCCCACCAGCAGGTCCCACCTCGAGGACGTGGCGATGTGGTCCCACCATTGGGTCCCAACCTCGAAGACGTGGCGATGCGGTCCCACCAGCGGGTCTCAGCCTGAGGACGTGGCGGCGAACAAGTGGGGCAGCGTGGCCCACACGGTCTAGGTGGACCTGCATCCTTCCGCCTCCCTTTTTTTGCCAAAAAATAGCGCACGCAGGGAGATTCGAACCCGCGACCTGCTGCTAGACATGTTGGTGCGTTACCACTGGAGCACTCGCCGTTTTGTGATAAAGGCATGCATGTTTTTCTATTTGTAAACATATAACATGATAATTGATGATTTTTTTCCTAAAATTTTCTAAA